TGAATTTATCTTCGGTGAGAAGAAAAGGCACCACTAATATGATCCACACGTGGGAAGAGAATCACCACCGGAATGATCGTCGGTGGGAAGAGAATCCATGAATGAGAAAAGAAGGCACGAAGAACAGACAATAAAACAAACAGACAAATGCTTTAAGTATTCATGTACCGAAACCAAACACCAAAACAGATGCAATACTAGTGTGCTGAGGCGACGCCTGATAGGACAATACAAGTGGTGCCGACAGTCTGAAATGTGTCATCCAGAATGAGTGTGCGAGATGGCTGTCGACGGTGATCTCCTGGGGGTAGGCTGGTTTTGTGGTGTGGTTGGTTGCTGAAAAGGCCGGCGGCTTTGATGCCTTTCGCGACTGTATAATACCAAAAACAGAAAAAGATTAAAGGTGATGCTGCCACCTCCGGCAGCGGGAGTGAAGCACCAAAAAGGGTCACATAATGAGAACCTGCTCTGATACCATGTAGAAATTGTATTTCTGTGTAATATCTGCGTATCTAAAAGAGAACACCTTGTTTGTATTTATAATATAGATAGACATCAATTACAGTGTACATAATTGAAATGACAACTAGCAAATCCTAACGTTTGATCTCTAATTGATTTTAACACCCTGTAACATGACCATCAACTATATGTTAAAGTTCAAACTTGAACAGAGGGGAAACACACTTTTACCAGGAAAGTTACTACATACATCTAATTAAAAAGATAATATGCAGCATGTATTTTGAAAGCCGTGTTAGTGGGTCTGCTATTTTACTTGGGGCTGCTATTTTACTTGTTTTCTTCTATTATGAAAATATTAATACTGGCATATACGGCACAGCTTTTAAACTTAATTATCTTTCTGGACGAAATGTAAATTTGAATTTGGCTATTGTGTTCCTAACCACTTGCAGTTTATAATTCAAACTTTTTTTCACTATTTTGAATAGGTTTTTCCCTCACCTAATGCAGCTGTCTTAGAACAACTATACAATGTCGATTGCATTGTGTATGGCATGGGTTCCCTTTTTACCTCAATCTGCCCCTCATTGGTAAGACTCTCACAATTAGCCAGCTTTGATTATTTTTACCATCATATGTGGCTGCACCGCACCAGCCTTTACAAATGGCAACATTGATTAATTGGGGCTTACGTACCCGGCAACTTTCTTTTCATTGAATATGAGTGTAATTTACTTTCCATCTCTCTTTTTGGGGCAATTTATAGTAACTTGACAGTTCAACCCTTCATGTATATTTTTGAGGCAATTTATACTAGATTTTACTCTGACACTTTTGCTCTCCCATTAGATGCTTTCTGACTTGCTAAATATTCTAGGTATTACTGGGAATTGGGGAGATTATTTCTTCAAGGTCTTGCCTCAAGGTATTCCACGCCTTCTTTATTATTCACATATTCTAATGCTTATGATATTTGAACCACAAAATCCATCCATGTAATTGCTGAGTGTAGTGCTATCCTCATGACTCATGCCTTCATTTTTCCAACATGTTTGACCCCTGTTTCATGATATGCCTGGCATGGTGTTATTAACTGGAGATTAATTAATGCTTTCTTGCATAGTTGTAAAATATTTTCCGTGCCCCCTACTATGCATGAGTTTCAGACAGAGTTATCTGTTATATTGGTCAAGTACTGTTGGGTTGGATTTGGCGCTGTAAACATATCGAAGTTATCTACTTTTTAGCTCAATTGTTTTTCATTTTCCACTAATTTGATTGAAAAATGATAGGTACTTATGTTAAATGGTACGCATGACCGGGAGACTAATGGCTTTTCAGCATCTTGTTTTGTTACTGCAATTACCGATGCTTTAAATTGGACATTCGGAGAATCTTGCAACCGCTTACAGAATATTGTGAGAATTCCTTCCTATTGGAATCATCCTTTTCTATTTCTTTAAATAAAAATTATATTTGCTTAAAGGAATCTATAGTCGTTACTATCATCAAAATCAACTGTCATCAGAATATGAGTGTAATTTACTTTCCATCTCTCTTTTTGGGTGAAGAAAACAAATACTTTCTATCTTTTTTTCTTATTAGTATTATTATTTGATTCCCTTAGAAACTAAACATAAAGTGAAAATTTCGGGATGCAAATTAGCTTCGCTTCTACTACTCTAATTTCATTAGTCTTATCATTTGTTCCTTGTCTCCTTTATTTCTCAGTGTATCTTTTAGACATGGCTTACCAGAAAACTTTACAGTTTCACTAGTGTCGTCTTAAATTTCTTCTTTTCATACAAGATGAGATATTTTGTGCTAAAAATAACTAATAGAAAATGAAAGCAAAAAAGGATAGCGCACCATTAATAATGTGTAAAAGAGTTTTATTTGTTTTTTATATTTGATGCAGCCTAGTCAATATATCATTACCCTTTTGGTGCCAAGAAACAGTACAGTTTCTGTTGATGTTGAGTGTTTGGCTGCCCAAGGAATATTTGATGTGGTATGTCTCCCAAATATGTTTATTGTGTGAAATAGAGTCGGTATAATTTCTGCTGTTTAGCTTGGTAGATATACTCACCTAACATGTTTTCTTTGTCAGTAGATCGCATTTAGTCTCGAGAAGTAAATTTAATTTATACCTGATGTAAAACTTGTTTTAACCATGATTCAAATACTTTCAATGGTGTGGCAACACATGAGTAGATGATTATAAAAAGTATAGGGTGGATCAAAGTTAAACTTCTTAAGAGTAGTTATTGTGTATTGTATTTGTCATATAAAGGAATTATTATCATGATGATCTGAGTCATTGGAATGACATTGTAAAATGGCTTGGTCAAAAGTCAGACTTTAACTTTGGATTTATATGCTCATATGTTCATAAGAAAACTGTAGCAGTGTTTTTGATATGAAAACCTTAAGAGTGTGATTGGATAAGAAAATTTTGAGGCAATCAAGAATACTAATTTTCACATGCAATTGTTTCTTATTTTGGACCACTTTCCACAAGATTTGTATACTCTTATCCTACAACTTTTAAAATTTATAAAAAATAATCCAAAGAATGAATATTTTATTAACCTATCAAAAAAATTATAAATGAAGGGATCATATATTCTTGATACTTATTTTGGTATAGAATCCATGGTCATTTTATGATGCAATTTACCTTACTTGATCATATTTATCTTTGCAGATAGTCGTTAGAAAAGAAGAAAGATGAAAATCTCATATATTGATCTTAGATTGAAAGAGTACAAAGGCATGGTATATAAAGTAGCCTTAGATCTAACTAACTGTACAGCTGGCATATAGCTGTAACAGATCAATGACACGCTGCATAACAACTACTCTCTATTAGTCCCCCTTAGAAACTGAGGGTGTGTTTAATAAACTAAGTTTATTGAACACTCGCAGTTTATCACGCAGAGGTAAAAACTTGATGGCTGAGAAAGGTTTGGTCAACAAATCTGCCCACTGATCTTGGGCAGGAACATGCTCCACAATTAGGCTCTTAGAGATCACTTTCTCCCTTACAAAAAATATATCCAGTTCCATATGTTTTGTCCTGTTGTGCAAGACAGGATTGTGTGCAAGTGTCACAGTGCTGAGGTTATCACACAGTAGTTTAGGAGTAAGAAATCTGCGGTGAAGTTCCTGCAGTAAAGACTGAACCCAGATTATTTCAGATGCTAACTGTGCCATACTCCTGTACTCAGCTTCAGCACTGGACCTTGCCACCAGCTGCTGTTTCTTGGACCACCAAGAGATGAGATTAGGACCTAGAAACAAGCAAGATTAGGACCTAGAAACAAGCAAGCTCCTGATGTTGACCTTCTGTCATCAGGGTCTGATGCCCAGTCAGCATCACAGAAACCAAGTAATGACAGAGGTTTGTGAGGTGCTGCAGGCTGAATCAGTAAACCATAGTGCAGAGTCCCACTGAGGTATCTCAGTATCCTTTTAACTGCTTTCCAATGCTCTTCCAAAGGATTTGACAGAAATTGGCACACCTTATTGACAGAAAAGGAGATCTCTGGCCTAGTGAGGGTAGCATACTGAAGGGCACCCACCCACTAATTAGAGCTCTTGCTGATCTAATAGAGAGATACATGAAGTCGCAGGTTAATTGCTTAGTTGACACCAGATGATCATGAGGAGCTAATCAAATTATAACCACAATTGGCTGCAGAATCATATTTTTGCAGTATGTTCATTACAATATACAGGGTATGAAATTCTTATTCTTTATCCAGAGAAATTCTTTCCACTCTAGTCAAAATTTTATACTGACCATAAATTGGGAATTCTAGGTGATTTCGTCTATTCATTCCTCCCACCAAAATACAGAGTCAGAGACTGGTGTATCAATCAACAGTTCTCTTATTTCTGTGAAAAAAAAATTGATTTTGTTGAAAGATAAACATGTCGAAGTGCTGTTGTATTATAAGAATAGAGAACAAAACAATCTCTAATTACTGTTTTGTATATTATTTTGTATATATATATACACACACTGAATTTCATCACAATAGAAGCACAAACACGAAGAAGCGTAGAGCTTCAGAAAAAGGAAAACTTAGATAAAATAGGACACTTATAGTTACTTATAGCAACACAACAAGAACTGATACTGTGAAATTCATTTGAAAGTAGTACAAGATAGTGGGATAGGAAGCATGCGCAGCAATGCCACATTGACCTCTAGGATCACCATTTTCCCTCAACACCCTCATGTACCCTCCTTCACCCCAATCTTTTACCCCATTGATTCTTAATCAACCAATACTTTGTTTCATCTTTGGATACTCCATAACCAACCGCTGTAACGGCATGGTTGAAGGGTGTTCCACATGTTCCTGAATATACCCCTTGTATAACATAAATTCACTACCGACATCGATCCCAACTGATACTGGTTGTTGTGCTACAGCTCGTAGTAGTAGTTGTTCATCATTAGCAGGAACATCTACAAAACTTGTTATTTGAGTTGCGGTTGTCATCTGATCATTGATTTGGCAGGTTTAACGAACTTCTTGGTATGGATAATCCGCTTCACTAACGATACCATTGGTTTGTATTATAGATTTGAAGGCATTATCCATATAACTTTCTTTACACCCGTAGCTTTGTTGATCACAGTCATGCAATTGTTGCTCCGACAATGAGATCAAGTTACTGGTTTTGATTTGCGTAATACTTTCTACAACTGCCACGGTTGAGAATGCCCAGCAGCATCCTGCAACACATATTTAATAGAATTATATTCTCTATAGCACAGACACCTCTGAAGAAATATGTATATGTGTTATTGTTGGTGTCTGAAAACGACATTAAAACTAATGATTATATTTAGTTTATTCATTTTATAAATTTATTAATAGTGAACATGTTAGTATTATGTTTCTGGTGTCTCTGATTGGTAACATACAACTTTGGAATTAAACTTACCTATAGTATAGAAGCCAAAAACTTTTCATAAAATCACATGTAATTTTTGTATGATAATGATCTATGAAAACACTACATAATTGAAAATAATTTTTATTTAACTTACCACACGTGCCTTGGTTCTTAACATCAGTGACAGCACCTTGTTCTCTCCCGTCAAAATTTGTTGGAACGTCATCATTAACTTGAGAATACTTGAGAAGGAACATGGAGCAATCTCATAACACCAGCTTGAGTCTTTTTTCGCACCAAGTGACAATCAATGTCCAAATGCTCTGTCCTTTCATAAAAAATAGGATTAGTAGATATGTGGATAGCGCTTTGATTGTCATAATACAAAATTGGAAGGCGAAAATGATGTTGTTTGACATCATGTAGCAGAAACCAAATCTATTGAAGCTCACGAGTAGTTAATGCTAAGGCACAATATTTAACTTCAGTTGAAGAGCAACTAATAGTTACCTACTTATTTGATTTCCACGACACTAAAGACTGGCCGATGGATAACCAATAATTGGAGATGGATCTTTTTGTGTCAATGCACCCACCCTAATCAACATTTACTAAAATCAAGTATTTGTAGGTAAGATGATTGGGATAAGAAAATACCACGAGCAAGAGAGCGTTCGAGATATCACAGGACACGAGTGGCAGCTCGATAGTGTGATTCAGTAAGAGCACTAATGAATTGGCTAAGCTGTTGCATGGGAAATGCAATATCCGGGCGTGTTGTGCTGAGATAGAGCAATCTACCAACAAGCCTATGATATTCAGTTATGTCAGAAAAGGCTGAGCCAATATCTGGATGAAGACAAATATAAGCATCTAAGGGAGTAGAAGCTGGTTTACAACCAATGTGGCCAACATCTTGAAGTAATTTCACATTTATAGAAATAATGATTTTATGATTAACTATATCTAAAAGGATGAACCTTTCATACCTGTCTTGTATCCCAAGAAAGCACATTTTCTTGCCCTTGAGTCAAATTTGTATATGTGGTTTGGTAAGGTAGAATCATAACTCAAACAACCAAACACCCTTAGGGAACTTAGATCAGGCGTAGCACCATACATGACCAACATGGAGCATTGCATAATACCAGAATTTCTTAGGCAAACCTGATTGAAACATGAGTGCTTTACTGATGTTTATGATATGTTGATGTCTTCTCCCTACTCTTCCATTCTGCCGAGGAGTATAGACACAACTTCTTTGATGTATGATACCCTTTGAAGCATAATATGCAGGCATGATCAACTCAGTTTCATTATCACTTCTAATGGTTTTGATCTTTTTGTCAAATTGTGTTTCAACCATGGCCATAAAATATGTTATCTTTTGACCCACTTCAGCTTTGGATTTTAACATAACAACTCAAACATGTCTACTATGATCATCTAAAATAGTTAAAAAATAAATGAACCCATGCACATAAACAATATTAAATGGCTTCCATATATCAATATGAATTAAATCAAACAGATTACATGCATTACTATTGCTGATAGAAAAAGGTAAACATTTATGTCTAGCTTGTTGACACACATCACAAGCCTTATGAATACTACTAGGTATGTTGCTATACATTATGCTCATGCATTTCATTCTATCATATGATAGATAACTTAATCTTAGATGCTACAAAATGGCTAGAGCTACATCATCAGCTTTCTTATTGGTAAAGACAATAAAAACGAAACCTATATTACTATCTCTTTGAGATCCTTCCAAGTAATATAGTCCATCAACCTCTCTAGCTGAACTGATCTTCATCAAGTCATTCTTTGTCTGTATAACACACTTGTTAGTTTCAAAAACTAGGTTGTAATCTTGCTCTATACATAGTTTTGAAACTGATATCAAGTTAACTTCAAATTGTGACAAGTATAAGACATCCTTAATAATAAATTCATTGGATAATTTTAAATCTCCACATATAGATGCTTATGGAATTACCATTAGGAAGATTAACCATTATGGGATTAATCTTATCATGTTTCATGAGCCAATCTATAGAATGATATATATGGTGTGTAGCTCTTGTATCTAAAATCCAACTTACACTACTATTTGCATTAAAGTTAGCATTCAAATTGTAACAAGTATAAGACATCCTTAATAATAAACTCATTGGATAATTTCACATCTCCACATATAGATGCTGCTATGGAATTACCATTAGGAAGATTAACCATTATGGGATTAATCTTATCATGTTTCATGAGCCAATCTATAGAATGATATATATGGTGTGTAGCTCTTGTATCTAAAATTCAACTTACACTACTATTTGCAGGCAATCTATAGAATGATATATATGATGTTCATTTGCCTGCTATTTCAGTTTATTGGTTTTGATAATACTGCAATTTTTCTATCTGATTCATCAACCTTCACTTGATTACATATGAGCTTCCTCGATCAAGAATTGGTGGATAACCATACTTCTTGTAACAATTATCAATTATATGACCAATTTTATCATAGTAGGTACAAACTTTCATATTTTCTCTTCCTCTTCCAACATTAGAACTACCATTTCCTCCACCTCTTCCAAATAGTTTTGCTCCATCTACTGTATTAACCATGCCAGATACATCTTCAACAACATTACTACTTGAAAATATGGTGCCACATATCTTCCTCTCTTGCTGCATAACCATGGAAAACACTTTATTTATCTGAGGTAGAAGATCCATGAGTAGCACCTGTGAAACTACTCCAAGAAACTCTTCATTCAAACCAATCAAGAATTGAATAATTCTATCTTCAACTCTAAAACTTCTGCCGTTTCTCATTGTTGAGCAGGCACAAGCTACACGATATGTACAACTTGGCATTGGTCTATACTGATTTAATTTCTCCCATGAACTTCTCAATTCAGTAAAATAATCTGACACCTTCTTGCTACCTTATTTTAGATTGAAAATCTCCTTGTATAATTGAGCAACACAAATCCTGTCACCTCTCATGAATCGATATTTGAGATTATTCCACATGTCCATAACATTATCAACGGACATTATCAACACGAATCCATGTATGCACCAGATTATTGCATCTTTGCCAAGCTACATAGTTGAGATCACTCTTATCAGGAATCTCAATTGTTCCATCCATAAATTAGAACTTGTTCTTCATGGCTAGGGCACACCTCATCTTTATCGGCCATGCATGATAGTTGTTATCGAATAGCGCTGAAGTGACGTAAACAATTGATGAGCTTTCTGAAGAATGAACATAATAAGGATCAAGTTGTTCCTGCACTTAATTATTGTTCTTTCTCGTCATATCAACGCAACACAAACAACGAAAGCGAAGAAAAAGAAAACGAAACGAATCAATGCAAAAAGAAACCAAGAAATGATGCTTCAAGAAGAAGCAACAACAATCACAATGAATGTAATATCAAGCAGCAAATCGAAGCACAACGGAAATAGAGCAGGATGAACCTGCTCTGATACCATCTAAGCAACCATGAAACTCCATTGATGGAGAGAAAAAGGAAGAAGAAAGAAAAGGAGAAGAGAAAAGAATAATAATAGCTTGCATTTATTAAAGAAGAAATTGCATTATTCTAACTAACTCAAGTTAACTAACTAATCAAGTGAGAAAAAATGCATGGCGTAATCATGCATGGACACGCACAAGCTTCATGCTACATGATCTTTTTCTTCTTCATCTTCAATATGGTTTGTTAAATATTTGTAAGCATTTTTCCATTTCAAAACTATCATTGTATATGTGCGTCCATGTTTCATCATCCATTGATGAAGTTTTTCATTAATAGATGATTCGTACAATGTTTGAGACATGGATTTCAAAACTATCATTGTATATGTGCGTCCATGTTTCATCATCCATTGATGAAGTTTTTCATTAATAGATGATTCGTACAATGTTTGAGACATGGATGTGTAAGCACATGCCTACAAGATCGTGATACAAACAACAATAAGAAACTTCATGCTGTTTTTTGAGTAGCTAGTTATTGAAGAGAATGTTTTGTGAATGAGGAAAAGAGAAACATTAGATACAACTATTTATAGAATTTAAAATCCAATTTCCAACGTAACAAGAAGAAAATTGCGAAAGCAAAATAAAGGAAACTATGCTATAACCAAAAAAATAAAAATAAAAAGAAATTTATATACTGGCGAAAATCTCGATATACGTGTGTAATACGTTGGTTAGTTTAAGGTTGACTTATAAACTTAAATATCACTTTCTCTTAGTATGATTCAGCCAATAAATATACTTCTCCTATGACTAAACATACATGCGTCGACTTGATCATAGTTTTTTTATTGATGGGTTGAGAATTTTTGATTTTAATATAGGACAAACAGTTTTTAAAACAGCTTTAAGTAAAGGGGTAAAGTACAAAATAAAGTATGAAAAAAAAAAAACGTATTTTGACAATTAAAATGCTTTAATCTCATTTGTTTTTGACAATTAAGATGCTTTAATATCATTTGTTTTTGATACTTTTGATTTTCTAATACCAAAAACCGTTAATCTTTTACAAAGAGTGTAACAATTCATGCATAACAACGTGGTGTCATCTAAAACAATAAATGCAGCGTTAAGAGAATTGGTTTTGTTATTAAAAAAGAAACAACGATTCAGTTTATTGTTCATTTGCCTGCTATTTCTGTATAATCAAGAGTTGTCTTTATTTAAAAGATTAATTCTTTTGAAATTTTTTTCTTTATCAAAAATAAAAATTTCTATATTATTTAAAAACTAACAAATTCAATTAATTGCTGTTTTAGTCCTCTCCTAATAAAATTGATCTTCAAATTATATATACATTTCTGATCTTTTTACAACTAAGTGACGTAGAATCATTCGAATATGTGCTATTAATTGAAAATAAAATAATTTTTAGAGATGAGACAGAAGTTTTTAGATTTTGTTTCTTTTGCAAATTTAAAGATGTTCATTTCATATGCAACGCCATTTATAATACAGTATGTTGTTATCTTTTAGTCCATAAATATAGGAGGGAATCGAACTGAAAGATCTCAAAATAAAAAATCCATTCTATGAACCTTGAAGGTAAAATTCATTATTTCTTAACTATTGCAACAACTAGTTGAACCAAATGGATATAAGTAAGCTTTTATTCATGGAAAAATTCAAGAACAAGTTTACATTGAAATCAATCCAGGATATATTATTCCACAATCAAATCTTGTTTTCTGC